GGGGTGCCCCTGCAAGTCCCTGACGATTTCCCACCATGCAAGTGGGCCTGACCAAGCAGTCGGCACTATGCAACTTGTACATTGTTTTCCCAGGTACAGGCTGCCGGGGGAGGGAAAGCTGAAGACAGGGCAGCATACAAAGGTACGTTGAGTGAGAATGCAGTAGGAAAAGGGGAGAGGCAACAGGTGCCAATAGTGGGGGAGGGGTAAATGAGATACCCCTGCAAGTTCTTGTGGGTCCCCCACTTGTATCTGTTACTGGAACAGGGCCACGTTATAGTATGCTACCAATTTAGAGGCAGCATTTATCAAGAAGGACAATCCAGCTCAGTTTTTTTGTTCTTCCCAAAAGTAATTTAAAAGAAGGAGTAGGAATTAACCTGTATTAACATTGTAAAAACACGTTTTGGATTAAATCCTGTACTTTTACACGAGATTTAAAACTCCTTTTTACTACTCTGACATGGAAACAGAATTTCACTGAAGTGGAGAACAGATTCTAATCCATGCTAGAACCAAAATTAACGAACTACAAGAGTAATTTCGAAAACAGCTACTATTTAAAGCTCCGTGTCCCATTACAAGTACCAGGGAAGATGCCATGACATACAGAAATTCTCTAAAGAGCTCAACATAAAGGGAATCCACCGCTAAACCTAGATACTGGGAGAAATTTGTCTCAGAAGATACAAAAAGCACACTGAAATCCAGTTAAATGTAAACATCCATCTTAAGACTTCAGCTTAATAGTACAGTCAATTCCTCCTATGGAGTTCTTTCAATCAACATTAAGAGCAGCATCAATTGTCTCCGAGCTTATTTATTTTATTTACTTATTTTTCACATTTATATCCCGCCCTCCCCAGTGGGCTCAGGGCGGCTAACAAGGGCAGGGTAATTAGCCGTGCCATAATTAAAAACATATAAAACATAATAAAAACATCCAACACTTAAAACAACGGTGCTCAGTCAATTACTAATCTCATACGTCCAGGATAGAATCAACACAGTTCCAGGTGGCACTCCCATATTTATGCCCAGTGGCGACGGCTTATTGGATCTTCTTTACGTTGTCCGGGTTCTTCCTCAGGGCCTCATCGGTACATCCTTTAAGGAACCATGGCGATGGTGGAATAGTGGGGCAGCGGCTCCTACTCAAAGGCCTGGCGGAAGAGCTCCGTCTTGCAGGCCCTGCGGAACAGCATAAGGTCCCGCAGGGCCCAGATCTCCCCCGGGAGCTCATTCCACCAGGTAGGAGCCGCCACCGAAAAAGCCCTGGACCTGTTGGCAGCCAATTTGGTATCCTTGGGGCCCGGGATGACCAACAGATTTTGGCCAACAGCTTCTGTTCTCCCGTTCTTGCGGTGCAACTCAATTTCTCTCAAGTGTCAGGACATTCTGCTTGGGACATCTGGGGACATCCTGGGCTAAGGGGGTGGGAAGCAGTGGAAATGTTTTCTGAAGTCCACCGGTAGTCCATCACTAGTGCACTAGTGCACCACCATCGCACTAGCTACCATCTATCCCCCATATATGGATATATGGGGCATGCACATCTAGTTGCTGCATTATGGGCGAGAACGGGATGGTCAGGGGTAGTCATTTTGCTTTTAGAAATTTTAGAATTTGTACAGATTGTATAATTTGCTATGCATCAAAATCTGTTTTAAATAGGGTTGTAATTTAATATTTTGTATTGTTTTATGGTTTTATCTGGCAATATGCCCTGAGCCTCCGGGGAGGGCGGGATAAAAATGTGAATAATAAATAAATAAATAAATAAAAAAAACTCAGTTTAACCTATTATACTGAAGACCAGACCATACGCACCCAGATGCTTCGCCCAGCTTCCTGCATCCCGCCCAGCTTCCTGAATTCATTGCAGTACTTAACACTGTATTCACTCTTTCTACATACTTTAACTTACTTCTTCATCTTTCTTCTTGAGTTCTGCTTGAACTTCCTCCAGTTCTTCCTGACCTTCATCTGCGCTCATCTTTAAGCCTTCCCGAAGCATTCGGATGCCAAAAATTGCAAAGAGCGCAGTTGACACATAGTATGTGTATACTCTGGGGATAACAGTGGTAGCATAGCCAAATAAAACTAAGGGGGGGGGGGAGAAAGGAAACACTTTAGGTTACTTGTTAAAGACCTTGCTTGTTCATTCAGTCTAACACTCTGAGTACTGAGATAATTTCTAGCCCTCAGTAATTATGCATATGAAGTATGGCTCTACACAAAATACAATAATACATTCATTGCTGAGATTCAACTTCGAACTTCCTAATTCATAGTCTTAAACAAGCCTACACCAGCTATGGTATCAATCTGAAGTATTAAAATTTGCCATTACAGTGTAGAGTTATAACATGAGGCTATAACCTTGGATCACAGAGAGCTAACTTTTAGTAACACGCTCAAATTGTGACAGTGGCAATTCAGATATTTTACACTATAAAAGTAAAGGTTCTCTCAATTAATAGCACTTACTTGATTCAATTTTAATTACCTGTATGGACAAATTCCATGTGTGCTTGACAATCTCCACCCCAGAGCACACTTTCCTCTTCTCCCCCTTTGTGCAAGGGGGAAACTATTGATCCTGAGCAAATGGAAGTGCTACAGGAAGAGGAAGCTCTTTTCGCAGCAGAGGCTGTGCAACACTCACAGAATTTGTCCATAGCATCCGAGCCTACCTAAAGGTTTGGATCTGTTGAATAACCAGCGCCTTGCAACTTGTTGCTACTGATAGGTTCTACGCTGGATGAGTCATTTCCTCATGAAATCTTCTCTATATCCTTTCAATATATCGTAGAAGTTCAACAATCCTACAACCTGGTCTATAACAGGGCTATCTCCACGTAAGTTTCACACTGGCCCGTTCTGACAGGCTTTCAGCATATGTTTGCTGCACATGTGCCAAGGGATACAATCCAAAGGCCCAATTCTATGTCTTCAGATCATATTGCATGTTTTTTTTTCAATGTCACATTAAGTCCCCACTGCTTTTTCTCCCTTAAAAGCAAAAGGCCAAAAATGACTAATTACACATTACTACAGTTCGAAAGCAAGAAACTGCAAGTAGATAAATAGGTACCACTTCGGTGGGAAGGTAACAGCATTCCGTGCGCCTTGGTATTTAGTCATGCCGGCCACATGACCACAGAAACATCTTCGGACAGCGCTGGCTCTTCGGCTTTGAAACGGAGATGAGCACCGCAACCCTAGAGTCGGACTCAACTGGCTTTCGAGCAAGGGAACCTTTACCTTTACCCAAACTAGAATCCTTAGAAAAATTTTGCCCAACATACTTCACAATATCAATTCAAGTCCCCGTTAAACTGATCCAGATGCAAAACCAAACAAGTGCAGACATTTACTTTGTAGTCCACCTTTCTCACAGGGACTCATGGTAGATTACAGAATATAAAATTATTGAATGCCGGATCCATTTCAAGGTACTGGTACTTACCTTTACAGCCCTACACAGTCAGGGGCTAGCATACCCTTGGGACCGCCTCGCCCCATATGAGCCCCATAGAGCACTGAAATCTACAAATCAACACCTTTTGGTAGTCCCCGGCCCCTAGCTGGTGGAATGAGCTCCCATATGAGATCAGGGCCCTGCGGGATTTATTACAATTCCACGGGGCCTGCAAGGTGAAGCTCTTCCGTTGGGCATTTAATTAAGGCAACAGGCACCCCCACACTTCTGATTGGCCTCCCATCAGTGTCCCGAATTTGGACAACCATCTGGGAACTATACCATCAGTTTCAGCTACTAATTAGATTCTGCATGGTATTTTATGACTGTATGCAACACTCTCTCTAAACTGAGGAGTCTCGTAAGGAAAAAATCTACTTTGTGAGCTACTGCCATTAGAGTTGTGAGCGAGCAATTTGGCTACTGCATAAATTAGTTTGCTCTTCCTGAGCTAAGACAAAAATGTGTGAGCTGGAGGCTAAAAAACTGTGAGCTAGCTCACACTAACTCAGCTTAGAGGGAACACTGATTGTATGGTTATTTTATTGTTTTAATCTTGTTTTAGATTTGTTTTAATTGTTATCGTATATTGTTTTAACATTGATGCTGAGCCTACTTGTGGGGATGGTGGGATACAAGTTTAATAATATAAAATAAACTAAAACAGTACAATCAGGCAGTAATAAACTAATGAACAATGGAATTGAACTAAGATTAGAGAATCAGAGAACTATCGAAGACAAAGTAGGCTATAGACCAGGGGTGTCAAACATGTGGCCCGAGGGCCGGATTAGGCCCCCAGCAATGCTTCCCCTAAGCTGTGGAGTCTTGTGAGCAAAAATTCTACTCTGTGAGCTAATGGCATTAAAGTTGTGAGCGAGCCATTTGGCTACTGCATAAATTAATTTGCTCGGGAGCCATCCTTCCTGAGCTAAGACAAAAATGTGTGAGCCGGAGGCTACAAAACTGTGAGCTAACTCACACTAACTCAGCTTAGAAGGAACACTGGCCCCCAGAGGGCTTCCATGAGGCTCGCAGTGGAACTGGTCATCTCCTGCTTCCAGTTCTGCTGCTGCTGCATCATAGCTTGCTTTGCCAGACTCTCTCAATCACTCAGCCATTTCATGTTTTAACCTGGGTCCTAGACTCGGAACTCTGAGCATGAGATTTCTGTGGTGAATGTCAATAGGTTTGCAGCTTACAGATACACACCTGAACAGCATACTCAAGATCACAACAGCACAGACATTTTGATGCAATAATTCAGATCAAGAGGTGTCAGTTATCAGATACTGTTAAATAGGCAAAATATTGCAAGAGGGCTAATGTTTTAAGCATGTTTTTTATTTTAAGTAAAAAAAAAAATCTGTTTGTGTCCTTTATAAAGTTTATATCTCCGCTACCTGGCATTACATTTTATGACACACATGGCCCGGTCCAACAAGGTCTCATTTATGTCAGATCTGGCCCTCATAACAAATGAGTTCAACACCCCTGCTGTAGACAATACAGAAAGTGGAATTACAAGGTAAAGAACAATGCAGTAAAAACAGCTGATGACTGCAATGATCATTGCAGCGGGCTACCACCCCAACAGAAAGCCCTGTGTATATGCAGTTCCTCCTGCTATCGTGCTAGCAGTTGCTAAATACCATCTGGGCTGAGTTTGTTGTTCCCCCTGCTTGCATGTACTTAAGCCAGAGGCACAAGCCACAGTCGGTAGCTTAATGTTAACTGGGCCAGTGAAACAGGAGCTGCCCGGGATAGGTTTGTTTTAAGAAATTTCTGCAAGCTACTTTGGGGAGAAGAGCTAACAAACAAATCCCTTTTTGGCCTGCAGCCGGAATGCATGACTTTCAGGACACTAACCTGATAAACATGTCATCAGCCCTAAGGCAAGCATAGCACCAGCCATCACTGTCAAGCGGTTGTAACGCATTGCCATGATGGCTGCAATGAAAAAAGTCTTATCCCCGAGTTCAGAGACAATGATGACCGATATGGCAGCCACAAATGCATGGATAAATCCCAGGTTAGTCTTATCGGGAGAGTCTCCATTGACAGAATGGTCCGGGGCAACTTGAGTAGGTCCTTTCTGAAAGGAAAAGAAAAAAAAATTATTTGACTTTTGCCCAACCCAGCCTACCCTTTCTAGTCTACAGCGCATTTTTCATGGAGGATTATGTCCACCTCCTGGCATAGGCTGCCATCCTACCTGTGCCCGCAGTAATCAATTAACATTAACTTATGATATCTGGTAGTTTATAATAATGGAACTACTCTGTACACATTATACAATTAGAGAATGATTTGTAGAATCATTGGGGGGGGGGGGGTAGTTAAGCCAGAAAAGATACAGGCTTGAATATAGACTAGTGTTCCTGTTTGTTTGTTTTTACCGTTTCCCACCTATACAGCACAATTTTCCTGCTTCCCCTGTCCTGCAGCAGACTGAAATGTGCCCCCGAATCCAGTTCCAGCAGGCATTTCCATCCCCCCCCCGGATTTTGGGGGACATTTAGGGCTGCTTGAGGTGGGGGGGAGGCAGGAAAGTCTTGCTCTGCAGATGGAAATCCCAGCACCCGTGGAAATGATAGCCTGGATCCAAGCCATAATCATTTAAATCTTCAACTCTTCCCACATTCCCAGTGTTCCTACAGATGAATAAAATAAGATTTCCAATTTAGCTACTTAAGCTCAGTGAGTGTATGTGTATGCATGCACGCTCATGCGTGTCTAAAGTGCTGTCAAAGTTGCAGCTATCTTATGGCAACCCTGTAGGGGTTGTTTCAAGGCAATGGATTAACAGAGGTGGTTTGCCACTGCCTTCCACTGCATTGTGACCTTGGACTTCTTGGGTGGTTCTCCATCCAAACACTAACCAAGGCTGACATTGCTTAGCTTCCAAGATCTGACAAGATCGGGCTAGCCTGGGCCATAATAATTAATAAATCTAGTTCAGTACATAAGCTTAAATCTAGTCTGTTATCTATGGATACAGATCTACGTTTCCCCCCCAAAGAATACAGACTGTTCAGTACTTCTAGCCAGTCATTCCCTGGATAGACAATACATTTCAAGATATTCTCTTTACAAGGTGCTTCTTTTTTTTACAAAAACAAAACAAAAAAAAGATTTCAAAAAGCCGATTGTTCAGTCTCTTCAATAGGGTAAGAGCACTGAGGACAGCCAGAAAGAGAAACTCCCTTGTGAGAAGGAAGTAGCTCAGGAAAGCAGCTGAACTAGTCTTTTGCAAGAACTGGCTTTCTATGGCAACAGAAGATAGTAGTTGCACCATAATAAGTATGTTCATCTAAAGGCGCCTCAGAACAGCTGCTTGAACTACGAACCAAATCAAATCAAGGTATGGGAACAGTTTACCGGAAAACAGATCGTTCAGAATATAAATACAGCACAGTAGTTCTTAAAAGCAGATTGCAACTTAAAAGGCAGTCATGAAACAGCCTTTGCAAAATGGCTTATGCATGCATGATCACATCCCATTCTTCTGCCAAACACACCACTCCATGTTCCATAGCTCTGCTTACTGGACTCTGAAGTATTTACTACTAGTAGTTTGAGGAGTTCAGGGTGGCAAACTTGAGGTTATCCTGTTTGATATTTCACAGGGTTGTTGAGATAGCCAAACTTGGAGATCTTCAGGATTAAGTGGATATCTGACCAGGACTCCTCCATCAAAATCTGACACCATGTTCAAAATGTCATACTTGAACCTTAAACCATCATAGAGTATTGTCACAGTACTGCCATCTATAGTTGTGGGATACAATATTTGACCTTTTTTTGCTCTGATAAGGAGCCAGTTAACATTAAACTGTGGCACCTAGGTAGCTGGCAATTAAGAGTAGTGCCCCAGGTGAAGGTGACACTCATTTAAATGGGAATGAGAAAGAAGCTAGCTATTACATGAATCTCAGATTACAACACTTAAGCTGAAGTTGGTCTGATAAGATAGCATTCTTGGTCTTACACTGCAATTCAGGACTCAGCTACTACCTGAGTAGAACGCACACACTTCAAATCTCATTTAGTACTTCTAAAACCACTTCAGCATTTTCCCCAGACCTAGCATTCTTATTAATATTTAACCATTTTACTTACCTAACCATGATTTATCAGTGCAGACAATCCAAAGACTGAAGGGGAAAATACTCTGCATTTCAGACCTGAAGTCACCTATACATCACTAATCTTAGGGCTTATTATATTTTTATGCCATTTCAGCCTAACATAGTTGCCATCTGGTCCCATTTATTAAAAAATAGGTAGCAGCCTCCCCAAATAGAATTTTTGTTCCCTTTTAATTACAGATCATTTTCTGACCACTAGGATAGGTCTGTATATGATTTTCTCTAAGTAGACAGCCCTTATCAGATGTTACACAGTTAAAAGGGGAAAAAAAGAACATTTAAGTTTTAAGAGGGAATAGCAATTTCCACCGACTGATGTCCTCTGCTGTAGCCTACTGAGCTCCTAGAAATTTTGTTGCTGGGGGTTAAGAAACCCTCAGGAACATCAGTGGAGAATGGGAAGTCTACAGTGGGAGGGGGAAATTGGAATCACCACCTCCTCAGAATATGGCTAGACACTCAATCCTGTCCAGCTCCCTGAATCCAGCATGTTATGGTGTTCCATCATATCATTCATACGTGGCGGAAAGTGCCATCAAATCACAGCTGACTCATGGTGACCACGTAGGGTTTTCAAGACAAGAGATGTTCAGAGGTGGTTTGCCATTGCCTGCCTCCACATCACAACTAGGGTTCCCAAGTACTTACCACGATCCGGCGGGGGACACATGCTCCCCGGCCTGAACATTCCTCCCTGTAACGCACCATGCCGTCGCCAGGAAGTGATGCTGGGCGACGCTCTGGCAATGGGGCTGAAAACTCAATGATACCATCGCGTTTCCAGCCCCATTGCCAGAGCGTCACCCAGCGTCACTTCCTGGCGACGGCATGGTGCGGTGTGTCTGTTGTCCATGCGGGAATGGTCCTGGGACAACGTATGTGTCCCCCGCCGAATCACGGTAAGTACTTGGTAAGCCTGATCACAACCCTGGTATTCCTTGGAGGTCTTCCATCCAATTTCTAGTCACAGCCAACCCTGCTTAGCTTCCGAGCTCTGACATCATTGGGCTAGCCTGGGCTATCCAGGTAAGGGATTATTGACACACACCATCCTTAAATAACACTCATAGCGCTATGGAAGGAAGTTAGGAAGAGGAACCTCAAGGGAAAGCAAGACAGCTTTAAGATTCTTACTTTGCATATTTTTTTAATTTAAGACTTTTAAAAACATTTTTAATTACCATACTCATGTAGATCTCCATTTCAAAGTTTCAGGGACTATTTTTTCTGCATTCGGCTAGCATGCCCAACATGTTTCACCTTGTTAGCCCTTTGCCACCAGTGATTCAGCTATCAACAGTGAAGGTGGAGACCAAGAACAACATGGAAAGCTGGTTTTCTAGATGTCGATTTCTCCTAACAGCAGCACCTCCAGGTGCCCATCTTTAGTAAAGCAATGGTTTGTGTCATGCTTAAGAGATGAATGAAAGCGCAAGTTATCATTTGTTTTGAAGAGAACACAGGCTAGCGATACTGCATGACTGTTTTTTTTAATAGAGAAGAAGGTATCCAGTATTAGGACTTAAATCAATTATAATTCAAACACAATAGAGAGTACACCTTATTGAAACCTGCAACTTACTTTGGGGGTAAGCGAGGACAGGATCAGGGTGCAAGTTTGACCGTTCAATAAAAATGATAGGGATTTTTTTTCCAGAAGTGTGGCCAAAGTCCTGTGGCACTTTACATTTATAGCAGTAACAGCTTCCATTATCCGGAGCCCATTTTCTGTATCTGACAAGAGTAGACTCTGGCTCATGAAAGCTGATGCTACAACAAATTTGTTAGTCATGAATTAAGAGTCTTCTGGCACATTAAACTTTTACACCCCCGCCCCGAGACTCACTGTCCTCACCTAGCAAATGAAAAGGGACTCATTTCAATCTCAGGGAGAGGGCTCCTTCTATGGTCTGAAAATATTTTCAAAAAGCCTTTGATTAAATGAATGTGTTAATACTGTCCATGGCAACTGGCTTTTTACAACAAAAAGACTTTGAATTGTGCCACAAGGGCTAAGCTAAATAAAATACGATATAGGAGCTGTGGTCAAACACCACGTGTGAATAAGACAGGAATTTCAACATACAAATATACCTTTGCAGTAGCTGTGTTCCGAAGCCTCTTCCCATGCAACTCATCAGTTTACTAACGAGTTCTCTCATAATAGGCAAAGTTACTGTTACTACTACTCCCTCTGCAAGTACCCACCATGCATGTTTGGGAGAACTTTGAAAAGGAGCGGCAGAAGTCTGTTATTAATACAAAGAAAGGATAGTGACACATTTTTCCCCTCAATGGAATTTGACCTGCTTTCATCTGTCGTCACAAGACAGAACTATGATCACTAAAGCCTACGCAACCCTCACAGCTGCTTAAGGGTCACCATGACCCACACCTCTGGGTCGGCTTGTCATTTTAACTGGGCAACTTGACAACACCACTCTGTTAAAACTGACCTGTTGATGCCACATAGTACTAAGCATAGCCAGGCATCTGATTAAATCCAGCAATTAGACTTCTATGGAATTATGTTTGTAGGCAGCAACTAATCTTAACACTGGGTTCATTAGCGTTTCCTGCAACAATCCAGTGAAAAGCATTTACAGGTGTGCTTAATCACCAGCACATGCACGCAGGCACTTAAAGGCACATTTATGCTGACATTTACAGTACAATAAATAGGTGGTAGTGCCACTTTAAGTAAGGAAAGGGCCTTAAAAAGTTGCCTTACGGATAGTAGAATCCTTTGTATGCATTATACATCAGTTTATTTCAACAACTGAGGAAGGCCACATTCTGCAGGACCTGAAAGGATGCACGTATGAACCTTTCTCCTCAAGACAGGCAGCCTGAAAAACATCACCTGTCTAATTAGTTGTGCTGGTTCTTCCTGCATGCCTGCATCTATTGTTCCTGTGGCCTCCGGCATCATCCTCTGCCATATGTGAAGGCCAAGCTCAGCAGCCTCTGAACAAACTGTCTGC